CACTGCTCCACCCCCACACGCTGCTCCACCCCCACACGCTGCTCCACCCTCACGGTGCCGGAACTCCACGCGTTGTGCACGCTCCCTCCACCTACGCATGAGACCCACCACCTCCACCGCCCGTGGTCGCAGCCCTGCCCTGTGGATGCCAAGGGGAGAAAGACCCTAATTGAAGCGTTGCTGCCTTGGAAGTCACCTTAGGCTCCTCCGGAACATGACGGGACGTGCCCGAGTTAGGGCGCGAGGCATCACCCGCAGCCCCAGTGCCACGGCAGCCGGGTGCCTCCAGGCCTCCCCCACGGTGTGTACAAGGCCTAACTGGCATTGTCTTGCTCTCATCTGTCTCCTTCATGGACGCGCTCTTCTTCCCTCCTAGGAAGTAGCGGGTTATCTTCTTTCTCAACGTTGAGTCTTTCCAGGGCTTCTCAATTTTTTTCCTTTGGGGTCTTATCTCAGTGAGATATTAATGTAGGTATTTTGGCCAGTGAAGAGGACTAAAAATTGGAGGCCAGCATGGCGTCCTTGTCCGTTTTCTGAATTTTAATAGCTTGATTTGGGATTAAGTCTTTTGGTAAAAACGGCTGTGCCGTCAGTAGTACCTTGATATGGCGTGCAATCTAATATGATTCCTCTTGTTAATTCATTTATAAAAATAGGAGATCTCAAGCCCAGGTGTGGTTTTGGTTTAACCATTCTTTCTTGAGCAGCCTCCTAGGGGAGGGCTCCTTGCTTGACTTAGGCAACTAGAATGAACCGACCAGTAAATCAGCAACTCCTGAGTGACGTTACTACATACTTTTCGTATTTGGAGCCATCTCTTAGGTCGTACTCAAATGTTTTCAAGTGAGTAGTCTGGTCACTATGCCTTTACTCTCACGAAAAGGGCTTCCCTTGACTTCCTACATGTTTTAGCAGGCCGATACATTTCTTTTTGAGCAAAGAGAAGCTGTTACTGTGAAAAAGAGAATATTTTTTCAGAGAGAAACTGAATGGTTCCCTTCACCCATTTTATGAACTAATTTGGAAAAGTTTATTCACGATGGTCATCACCGGAGCTGGTGAGCGAGCTGCTCCGAATCAATTTATTTTCTCGCTACAAACATGCTCACCCCGGAGGCCCGTGGCTGTGGGCCGTGGAAGCACGAGGCGGTGTTCATTGGTACCACCTTCCCCCTGATGAGCCCCCTGACTCAGGGATCTCTTCTCTACCTCGTTACACCTCCAGCTTCCAAAAGCTGTTTCTGGTTCACAATTGATACTAAATGTTGATGAATGGGGAGTACTATAGCTTGTCCTTATCCTTTCTTATAGAGGGGGCAATTTCTAGAATCATCCCTCAAGCGTTTTACCTGTTGACATTAAGCTCATGCTGACTAATGACTGAGGACATAGAGAGTTCTTATTTTTGTAATAACTTTTTGGTTTATGAATTAATATCTGAAATATGACCAAACATTGTTTTTGGCCCATGTTAGCCCGTCTCTGCTGATCTTAGTGACAATGAAGCATCGTCCAACAACGGCTGCGAGGAAACGAGTAGGATTTCACAGCAATGTAAGTGCAGTATTCTGTTCCACTCAGTTCCGTTCCATCTGACGGGAGTAGGAGTGAGTCCCCATGCCTCACCGCAGCAGGGTCTTTTCTTGAGCGTCCCATTCACCTTTTCTGGAAGGATCCCCTGTGTGTGTTGTGTTTCTTTGGGAGTCCCACGCAGAGTTTGCCGCTGAATTTGCGGACAGGGCTTAGCAGCTGGATATCTGCAGACATCAGGATGCTAGTTTTCAGATGCTGTCTGTCCACTGAATAATTTTTAACAAATTTAAAAAAAATTCTTTACGACATGTACATGTCAGTTTGCAAGGATAGTGGAAACCGCAAGTGCTCGCTGCCACTGCTCTCCTTCCTTCCCCACCCGTGGAAGATGTCACCATTCGATGGTGGCTCTCTTCCCTGCAAATTCAGTTTTAGCCTCAGGATACTTGTCAACATGCTGTTCCAGGTAGCTGCTGTCACATGGTGTGAGTTGGCACGCTCCAGATTGCCATGACAAAGTACCACAAACTGGGTGGGTTAAACAATAGAAATGTACCATTTCGTAATTCTGGAGGCTGGAAGTCCAAAATCAAGGTTTTTGCAGGGTTGCTTTCTTCTGAGGCCTCTCTTTTGGCTTAGATGGCTGGGCTGTCTTCCCTCTGTGTTTCACATAGCCTTCCCTCTGTCCTTGTCTGTGTCCTAATCCCTTCTTATAAGGATACCAGTCAAACTGGATTAGGGTCCATCCTAATGAGCTCATTTTAACTTAACTACCTCTTAAAAAACCCTGTCTCCAAATACAGTTACATTCTGAAATATTAGGTGTCAGGGCCAGCCTGACAGGGTTGAGCTGGGCTGAGGCAGGGAGGTGGGAATTGAGAAAAGAAAGAAAGACAGGAAAGCGGGGTTGGGAGGACTCCAGTTCTCTTGATGAACTGAAGCGAGTTTATTAGCTCTACAATCCTATTTATACATAACACACTGAATAGGAGGTCTATCAAGAGGAATGTATTCTTTGTTCCTCTTAATCTCTAAGGGAGGGATACAGCAGAAGAAC